GCCCCAAACCTTGACCATTTTAGGTCCGAAATCTTGATTCCTTTAGGCGCAAACCTCGACCACTTTTAGGCCCCAAACCCCAACTTTTTTTGACCTGAATCTTGGTCATTTTCCCCCACTGGATTGTGGTGGTGATGGATAAAAAGGCCGAGGTTTAGCGCAAAACCAGCCACAGTTTGGGCCTAAAAAGTGTTGAGATTTCGAGGCCTAAAATTGCTGAGAAAGGGCTCAAGGATTGAGTTTTGTGACACGTTGTCAACATTTGGGGTGAAAGGTTGAGGTCTGGGGCAAAATGGTTGAGGTTTAGGGCAAAACCAGAGAGGTTTAGGTCACAAACTTTGACCATTTAGGCTCAAACCAGTGACCATTTCACACCCCAACCCTGGGCATTTTTGCCCCAAACATTGGCACCTTTTAACCCCCAAACTTTGTCCTTTCAGGCCGAAACTTTGACCCCTTTTAGTCCCAAACCTCAGCCATTTTACGCCATCACCACCTTCCTCCTCGCCGCCCTCCCAGTTTATGCCTCAGCCCCTTGAACCCCAACCCCAGGCACCACTAATGAGGACAACTGGTTGAACTGGGAGACTCACTGGCGTCCTTCTTCTTCCTCCTCCAGGCTGGCGGGCGGCCGTGACACTGGTGGAGTCCGGCGGGGGCCTCCCGCCCCCCGGGGGGGCCCCGACCCTCGGCTGGAACGGCCCCCCGGGGGTCCCTGACCCTCGCCTGCAAGGCCTCAGGCTTCACTTTCAGCAGCTACGGCATGGGATGGATGCGCCAAGCGCCTGGGAAGGGCCTGGATTGGGTCGCGGGTATTGCCAGCAGTGGTGGCACCTACTACGCGCCAGGGGTGCAGGGGCGCTTCACCATCTCCAGGGACAACTCCCAGAGCACGGTGACGCTGCGGATGAGCGGCCTCAAGGCCGACGACACGGCCACCTACTACTGCGCCAAAGATTATACTGGTGATAACGGTTATGCTGTTGCTGGTGGTGTCACTTCCTGGGCCTTTCTCCCTAAATCTGGGTCATTTTCCCCAAATCCTGACTGGTTTTGTCTCAAACCTCGACCATTTTCCCCAAATTCCAAACATTTCCCCAATTTTTGACCATTTTTACTGCAGATCTTGACCATTTGACCTAAGACTTGACTGCTTTTACCCCTGAACTTGAACATTTGACACAAAGCTCAAACATTTTCCAAAGTTTTTGACAAATTTTGCCACAAATCCTGGCCATTTACCCCAAATCCTGACTGTTTCAGCCTCACACATTGATGTTCTGCCCGAAATCTCAACCATCTCCCCAATTTTTCACCATTTTCACCGCAGATCTTGACCATTTTCCACAAAACTTGACTGGTTTTGCCCCTGAACTTGACCTTTGATTGCAAACCTCAACCATTTGCCCCAAACCTCAAACGTTTTCTCCAAATCCCAACCATTTTGCCCCAGATCTTGATTGTTTCCCACAAATCTTCACTGCTTTTGCCTCAAACCTTAACATTTGACCCAAACAGTGACCATTGGCCCCAAACCATTTTAGTCCCAAATCTGAACCTTTTTTTGCCCCAAACCATGGCTCTTTTTCCCCTGAACCTCGGCCATTTTCCTCCTCTGGTTTATGGTGGTGGTGGATGAAAAGGCTGAGCTTTAGGGCAGAACCAGTCCAGATTATGGGCAAACGGTTGAGGTTTGGGGCAAATATTCAGGGTTTAGGGTAAAAATATCCAAGGTATGGGGCAGAAACAGTTGAGATGTGGGGCAAATGGTCACTGTTTGGGTCAAATGTTAAGGTTTGAGGCAAAACCAGTGAAGATTTGTGGGAAAACTATTGAGATCTGTGGTAAAAACTGTGAAAATTTGGAGAAATGTTTGAGATTTGGACCACATGGTCAAGTTTAGAGGCAAAACCAGTCAGGATTTGGGGCAGATAGCCCAGGAAATGCCAGCAACATTAACACCACCCCCACCACTACCAACATTTTTGATGCAGTAGTAGGTGGCCGTGTCGTCGGCCTTGAGGCCGCTCATCCGCAGCGTCACTGTGCTCTGGGAGTTGTCCCTGGAGATGGTGAAGCGCCCCTGGACCCCCGGCGCGTAATCGGTGAAACCACCACTGTTGTCAAT